CGGTGCTTTTAAGCTATTTAAAAGCGAAGGAAAGCGAGGAAAAGAGGGAAAATTCAAACAAACTAAATACGAACAATTGCTTTACGCCGAATTGCCGTTATTTGAAAGTGAAAGTAAGATGTGCACGCCGCTTTTGCAAGCTATTTAAAAGCGAAGGAATGTGAGGAAAAGAGGAAACGCCCCTGCCCCCACGGTGATACCGGTATTATCGGTGTTGTCACACGTCGATTAACCGGTGGGAAAATTTCCTCACTGTCACAACCCTAGTAAGAACACAGAGACATCATGTTCGTTATTGAGTCCTTATGTAGAGCCTGTTGTCTAACTATTAATAGGCTATGATAAAATATATCATTATTTATTATTATTATGTTATTTATATTAGGTAAAATTTAAATTAATTAATATAAATAATTTTGGTTTAATACTTTTTATTTATTAATTTTAATTTACTTATTTATGATTTTTTATTAAGTAATATTAATTAAGACCAAAACCTTATGAGTTGTTTTTTTTTTCATGATAGCATTATATATCATGTATGTTTTGCTGGAAATAAGGTTCCTGATTTTATGCTTCAGAATTTTAGATACCAGTGAAAGTTTACTGTTCTTAATACCAGTTGCAACAGATACTAGGCTAATACTAGTTAATACTAGACTAGCTAAAGTAAAAAAAAAAAGTCCTCGAACAATTACTGAAGACAAGTAAACAGTCAGTAATACAATAAAAACAAAGAAGCAAAGTGCAATCAAACAAACACAATAGAAAAAAAGATTAAAATAAAATAAACAATGCTTCCAGTTTTTCATGTAAGTTTATCTAACAGTATAGTATTTAGCTAATACCATACTGCTACAGAAACAATCAAATGTAAAATAAAACATTTGTTTCTTATTAAGATATCTTTCTTAATTCTTTCTTACCTTTCTTGATTCTTATTAAAGGGGTCATATGATGCGATTTAAATTTTTCCTTTCTCTTTGGAGTGTTACAAGCTCTTGGTGCATAAAGAAGTTGCAAAAACTAAAGTCTCAAATCCAAAGAGATATTCTTTATAAAGTTAAGAGTCAACCACGCCCTCTTAAAACGGCTCATTCTAACACGCCCCCACATGTCTACATCACGATGTGGGAAGATTTGCATAACACCGCCCAAATGTTCATGCAAAGAAAGAAGGCGTAACTTTTATTCTCGCTGTAGTATTGTTGCTGCCGGAGACACTGTGTGTTTCGTTGTGAAAGCGAAACTACTTTGTTTGGCCTTCCAAAAGAGGACGATATCCGCTTCGTCATGCCTATAGCTGATCCGTGCTGGTCGCTGAGGAAATACATCACTTCGCGCTGTGGATCGCCGGATCGGCTTTCAACGCGGACGAAGCGGAGTCCAGCCCGGGGTCGTCACATGTGGTGGCCTCAAGCCCGCTGACCGCTCCTTTGTCGAATCC